AAGCTTCAGCAAAAAGCATTCTAACAAAAAACACAAAATAAGTGTAATTAAAAGGAAATGGGAGGGTGACTCAACCTTAGTAAAGTGATAATAACAAATAGTTTCCCTTTCAAAACGCTTTCTCTGTAGCCCAGTTCTCGCAAATATGGGGTGAGCTGATAAAACTACATGCTTTATTCAATTATCTCCACAAAAATAGAAAACTAACATGAACTATTATAGTTTAGTCTTACTTATGATTAACTAATCTTCCACCTGTAAAGGCGTGTTGGCGTTTTTCGTCAATGGCTGTTACCCACCTCATGTGCAATTTTGACTTTGACTGTTTATTCAGTATGATTCCTTTAATTACACACACATACTTTTATTCTCAGAACAACTCCATGACATAGATAGACTGACTCTGGTTCTTAATGAGTTTTATGGGACATCTGGAATTTAAACCTTGAGTTGGGGATGACAGTTCCTTGAACCTTGTTTGCAACTTTAAACAATAATAATAGCATTGGCTAGTGAACTTGGGTCACTTTCTACACTGCCATATAAAATTCAGATTATTTTCTTTGAACTGGATTATATGGCAGTGTAGACTAATTTAGTCAAAGCAAATAATGTGGATTATCTGATTTGATAATCTGAATTATATGGCAGTATAGATCCATCCTTTGATGGTTGGATCCCTCACAACAGAGGCCCCCTTCTACATTGCCCTTATATCCCAGGATCTGATCCCAGGTTATTTTCTTTGAACTTGATTATGTGACCCTTCACTACCACATAACCTGGGATAAGAAGATAATCTGGGATTAGATCCTGAGATATAAGAACAGTGTAGACGAGGCCAGACACATTTAGAAGAACCCCAACCTTTTTGACAGAATTGAAGAAAATCTGACCTTCCAGATTATAGATTGTAACTCCAAGCAAGGCTTACAATTGGCAATGTTGGCAAGGACTTCAGAGGCCCCTTCTACACAGCCATATAAAATCCAGATTATGTGATATGAACTGGATTATCTGATAGATTATCTGCTTTGACCATCTTGACTATATGGCAGTGTAGAAGGGGCCTGAGAGCTGCAATCCAACAACGTCATTCTGGAGGGATACACTTTTCCTGCTGCTGCCTTAGGGAATTAGGAAAATTCCTGGTGGTTGTGGTCAGTTGTCTGATTTCTCTATCCTTCTCTTTCCCTACAAATTAGGGAAACTCCCATCCTGTTTGTATGTCTTGGAAGGAAGAAGCTTCCTGCCCACTTGGCGCATCAAAGAAAACCATTAAACATTTAAAATGAGAAAACCCTCCGCTAGCTATGCTCTGAAAGGTGTATAATTAAAGCAGTTATTTCAATGAAAATGGTATCATTATAGCAAGGGAAAGACTAAAATAAAAACATTTCTCGGGGTCATGGTGAAAAATACTTTTGCTGTGGTAGAATGCTGAGTGACATTTAAACCATATATAAATATAGTAATGCCTACAGTTAAAGAAATGTTCAGTAAAATAAGGGCATAAACATCCTGAAAAGCCACATTTAACTCAAAAACAGCCTGCAGTTCCTCTGCTTAGTTTGAAGACAATGTCCACCTTTGACACAGATTTTAAATATGTCTTGCTAAATAAGCAATGAAGATTAAAAATATCAACAATATTTGGTAATCCCTGATTACTATAATTTATATCTAAAGCTCCTTTTGGAAATCTGAAGATGAAACTAAATGCTATAAGAAATATGGGTGGCTTTAGAAATGCCGCTGTGATTGTAACACTCCAATAACATCTAATAAAGCATGTGTTATTGTTTAATCGTTGTAGGATTTTAATAATTTGCTCTCCCAAAACCTACCTGGTAATTCAAATACCACACACACACAAAAGCAGAGAACATAGCTCTCAAAATATTTTCAAGTTAAGATTTTGAAGAGTGCTCAGAAACTATAACAAACTTCATCTCACTTTCAAACTGCAAATCAGTTCTGGTTTCTGAAACCTCTTCTGAGGATGCCTCCTATCCTACATACAGGGCATGTTACAGTAACCCTGTATGAATTTATTTAAATTATGGATCAATATAGCTAAAACAAGGTCAACAATGATGGGGTCATTTTATCCTCCAGAATACCTCCCAACTGAAAAATCAAAAGCCCTATCTACATATGCTCTGGTTACATCCCGAATAGATTGCTGCAACGCACTCTACGTGGGGTTGCCTTTGAAGACTGTTCGGAGACTTCAACTAGTCCAACGGGCAGCAGCCAGATTACTCACTGGAGCGCCATACATGGAACATACCACCACCCTGCTGCGTCAGCTCCATTGGCTGCCGGTCCACCTCCGAGCACAATTCAAAGTGCTGGTCTTGGGCTATAAAACCCTATACGGCTCTGGCCCAGCTTACTTATCCGAACTTATCTCTCTCTACGTTCCACCTCGTAATTTAAGATCTACTGGGGACGCCCTGCTTTCGGTCCCACCGGCGTCACAAACGCGTCTGGTGGGGACGAGGGACAGGGCCTTCTCAGTGGTGGCCCCTCGCTTGTGGAATTTGCTCCCCAGTGAGATTAGATCAGCGTCCTCCCTCCTCACTTTTAGGAAAAAACTAAAGTCGTGGTTTTGGAGTCAGGCTTTCGGCTAGTGGACTTAGCAGCCCTTAGACACTGAACCGGACCACAGGATTATGACAATTGGAAACGGATATGTGATTTTGATTAGGCGACTATGTTAGTATATGAGTATGTGATTTTAATTAATGTTATTGTTAATTTTCTATGTATTTGATTTTATGTTGTATTGATATTATGGCAAAGAATTATTGCCCATGTAAGCCGCCCTGAGTCCCCCCTGTAAATAATAAATAAATGCTGTAAAATCCAGAATGATGTGGATTATAAGAAGGATGGCTAGAAAACACACACCCCTAATGTGTGCTGCAGTGCATATCCACATGGAAAACATGTGTCAAAAAGAGTCAGCAGAAAGTTCAAAATACTCGTAAGCAATAAAACGTGCTCCCGTAATGCAATGCATTTCTGATGCTAGACACTGATTTAGAGTAGAAAAGGGTTCCTGGGAGTTAAGTGGAAAGGAGAAATAGATGTCACCAGCATAATGCTGACAATGAACTCCAAATTTCTAGACAAACTTTCCCAGTGTAGGTGTTGAATACTAAGGGCCTTTCCAGACAGGGCCCAAAATGCAGGCCCTATCAGACTTTTATCTGAGGCCTCAGGTACCTGAGGTCTGAGGTCCCAACGTCGCCTCAGATAAAAGTGATGTAATTTGGGACAAAGCAGGAAACCACCTCCTCCAAGATGAACTGAACCACCTAAACTGGGCTCTACAGGCCAATGGATACTCCACCTCAGACATCAGAAGAGCTGCAAGACCAAGAACAAGCTACGAGAGTCAGACGAAGATCCACCCAGAGGAAAAGTGTTCTTGCCATACATCAAGGGAACCACTGACCCAGGCCCGTAGCCAGGGTTTTGATTCGGGAGGGGGGGGGGGCTGAGTTTGATTCGGGAGGGGGCTGAGTCTGAGTGAAAGAGGGTCTACCCTAGCAAACCTTTTGTATTGTTACCCCAATACCCCCATGCATATGGGATATATTGAGCATGGTGATCAGATCATGATATGAATAAACATAACAGTTTAAATAATGACCAGTAAGGCCTTCTCGCACACCACCCTGAGAATTTTAGGGGGGGGGGGCTGTAGCCCCCCAACCCCCCCCCCCCCCGGCTACATGTCTGCACTGACCGCATAGGAAGCTGATGAGGAAACACAATATACAAACCATCTACAGACCCACCAAGAAAATCCAACAAATGCTACGTTCAGCAAAGGACAAGAGGGATCCTCTCACCTCTGCAGGAGTCTATTGTATACCATGCAGCTGTAGACAAGTCTACATAGGGACCAACAAACGCAGCATTGCCCAAACACGAATTAGGGAACATGAAAGGTACTGCATACTACTTCAGCCAGAGAAGTCAGCCATAGCAGAGCACCTGATGAACCAACCTGGACAAAGCATATTATTTGAGAACACAGAAATGCTGGACCACTCTCACAACCACCATGTCAGACTATACAGAGAAGCCATTGAAATCCACAAGCATGTGGACAATTTCAACAGAAAGGAGAAAACCATGAAAATGAACAAAATCTGTCTACCAATATTAAAAAAAACTCTAAAATTACAACAGCAGAACAACAGAGAGTAAACAATCAGGCACATCTAATCACCTCTCAACAAAAGATTCCCCCAGGCCCTGCAAGCCATCAAATGCTAATTAAGGTGGTCAGTTGAAACATTCCCACCTAGCTCCAACAGACAATAGTCCTTTGTCTCACCCTGGTCATTCCACAGATACGTAACCCATTTTTCTACTTCCAACAGACCTCACTACCTCTGAGGATGCTTGCCATAGATGCAGGTGAAATGTCAGGAGAAAATGCCTCCAGAACATGGCCATATAACCCGGAAAAACCTACAACAACCCAGTGATTCTGGCCATTAAAGCCTTCGACAATACAAAGCAGGAAAACTCTGCTTTATCCCAAATTGATTAGATATCCCATTAGACCCTGGGCCTTCCTGAAAGGCCCAGGTCTAATGGTGTATGAGCTCTGTGGGTACTAACTACCGGTTACTTCCGGGGGCCAGTACCCAAAACCATTTCACACCTTTTGGGCTTCTGGAGCCCAAAAATGCGAGATGGTACCCACACCCTTCCCAACTCCCAACCCCCAAAGCCTTAAAAGAGAAGAAAAACTTAGTGGGCCACCCTGCGTCCTCTCTGGTAGCCCTCCTGGTGCATAGAAATAAGCAGGTGTGTATAAGGTTGTATTGCAAGTTGTATTGTAAGTTCCATGTCCATATTCCTTTGGAGCTACTGTATGCTATGCTTGCTGGATTGTATACACGTGCTTTATGAAGGCAGACAGTAAAGTTTGTTGCTATACCTATTACAAAATTTGGATCTCCATATCTTACCGCCGATTGAGCTGCTCCATTTGTTGGATCGAACCCGATCTACGTATTCCATCAGGAGTAGCTGCTGCAGTTGGACGCTGCCACGTTGTGGTTCGATTCACATGATCAACATAGAACACCCTTCCGTGGCTGTCTATGCGAGCTTCCCAGTCTTGCATCAAACATTTTAAAAAGAAAGGACAGGAATTAAGTAATTTGTTGAGTGATATCCATGGATAAATTCTATGAAGGAAAACCATATAAAAATAGCATAAATGTACACTTGTTATGCAAAAACATTAACACAAGGAAAAGAAACAAGTTCTCTTAACAACACAGAATTTCTATCAAAGGGCATCCTTAAATTAAAGAGATTGGAAAAACAACAGAAAACTCAATGAAACACATATGGTTTGAGCATATGTGAAAAAGAGCAATTTAGACCCCTTCTACACTGCCATATAATCCAGATTATCAAAGCAGATAATCCACATTATATATGTGTTATATATGAGTCTAAACTGCCATATAATCCAGTTCAAAGCAGATAATCTGGATTTTATATGGCAATGTAGAAGGGGCCTCAGGTTCACAATTCAGTGCCTGTGCATTAATCCATAAACAGGGTAAATCTAAGTATTTTAAATATACCTTATGTATTTTAATTTTCATTATGTGGACAAACCTGTGAAGACTTGATCCAAAAATGCAGCATATGTATGATTAAATAAACAAATGTACCACATCTCTCAAAGCAGGGGCAGTACACTGCCAACATCCCATTTGGTGTTGTGAACTGCCTCACCAGTACTGGTTCTATCAATGCTGCTACCTTTACGTCCAGTACAAGGCCAGATTCCAAAGCCCTGTGGGGCCCAGGACCTGAACAAGGGAAAGGGCGAATGGAATGGATATCTAAGAAAATGGGTCTCCGGCATGTACAAATGGCTTTCGAATCATCGCTCATTTGTCAATATGATTTCCGCATTTTTAAAGTTAAGAAATCCAGGAAAGAGCATGCAGAATAGCAGTTGATAGGAAGGTGTTTGTTGGATATATATAAAGCAACAAGACAAACAACATGGCTACCTTAAAAACAAACAGACATGCAAGGTCTTGGGCACAGATACCCACCATTCCCTATGGAGGCTGAAGTGTCACCAATATGAAATCATTATGGCTAGCCAGCCTTCAATGTGGTGGAATTACCAATGAATTATGTAGAAAGCATTGACATATCACATACAATGGTTAATGTCAACTGGAAAGCTCAGAGCTTGAAATTGCTTGATATAATTGGAAAGCACCATATTGACATGACAAGCAGTGGGAAAGTATTATAAATTCACTCCAGACATGTGGACCCTTATTTAAAACACAATTAGTAAACATTTAAGACTGGTGCTTCACTGAATATGGAAAACAGATAACAATATACCCACACATATTTATCACAAAACATTTTATGGGTACAATGTAGACACAGTCTGTATGGATCACAGCCTTTGAAACACCAACAGTAGTAGCATACACAGTAGCAGCCAAATGTGTAGCCAAATACTAAGAAAAGACAATGCTAATAACAGTGATAGAAAGTGAGCCAGCTAAATTGTGAAGCACACTCAGGGCCCTTCTACACATGACTAAAAACCCAGAAGTAACCAAGATAAAAGGGGATTGGGTAGCTAAATGATGTTTGGGGAAAGTGCGGGTGGAATCAGATTAACAGCTGAAAAGCACGTTTTTAAAAGGTGACCTTAAAACCCAATATTGCCTGAAAAATGTGCACCTTCGCATGACTGTATATCCATGTAGTCATGTTCTTTCCTTGCTTTACCCCTGTGTGGACTGCTCTAGCACATGTGCGTTTTTTAAACATCCGAAACAGCTGATCAGCCTGTCAAAACATGGAACCACGGACACCCAGGTGGCTCAAGGGAACCAGAATGGGAAAGCAGTTAGAACTCTCTGAAACTCTTTCTTTTAAACTTCGCAATATTAAATAGAGCTTGAATTAACAATTGGGTGAAGAGAGAGATCCAAAAGAAGCATTTTTTTAAAAAAAGAAATTCACTCATATGTGCACATGCAAATCTGCTTGTGTTTACATTAAGCTGTGTGCATATGAAGTCCAGCGCATAACAGAGTGAATTTACAAAACAATTAACTTCCTCTGAATACCCCCCCCCCCAATCCAATCCTGTCGGTCTTCAGTCCTGCCAGGGCAAGGGTTTAACCCATGTAAAGAATTACAGTTTTCCTTCACACAAACAAGCTGTAATACTTTAATATCAAAAGGTGGTGGTGTTGGTCACAGTGTGCCCTCTACTGGACAATCAATATTAATGTAGTGCACTTTAAGCACAAGCATTTTATAGGTCAAAAATGCACATAGACACTTTCCTACAAGGACTCAAACAGATACAACATGTATATTCAAAGCACGTTCAGTCACTTTGCCATCATAGCAATATGTACTCTTCTTGACCTGCTATTTTGAGAATATAGTAACAAATCCTAAATGAGCAGGAAATCTGCTTTTTACTGGATTCTCAGTGTGGAATTAATTATCTTCGGATATCTGTACCCTTCACCTCAAAAAGCAGCTCAAATGAATTAACCAAATTAAGAAAGATGTTTTGAAAATGCCACCTTTTATTGCTCTTTATAGCCTGCTGTGGCATCATCTCTCAGGGCACTCTCTTGTGCACAAAGTAAACATGGTTGCAGTGGGAGTGTAGATAGCTGAGGCCAGAGGGAAATTAAATGAACAAAACAAGGGAAGAGTTTTTGTCACTGTCCCAAAAAGCACAAGGACACATTCTAGATCATCTTAAAATACAATGAAAATGTTTTTGCACCATTGAATTTTCTCGGATGGTACTTTTGAGGAGAGCAAAAAGTTCAAAAAGACATATGAAGTTCTGTAGGGGTTCATATACATTCCTCACTACTGACTGCAGTGGAATCCTGATCACTGTCCTTCAGATAAACAGGGAACTCTAAATTGAAAAAAGCAATATATTTTTAAGAAACTAAAGCTTACTTGGAGGAAGAGGTTCATCAATGGTTGGGTACTGATGGTGGTCAGGCCTCAGGGAAGGAAGCTGGTTGATTGGCTGGGAATTATGGAGTAAAGGGCAATCACCTATGAATAAGACAGTCAAGAGGTTCATATTCAGTCGCAGATGCCACACAGTGGTTATAAATGCACTGCTATATAAACACAAATGACTGGACGGGTGCTCGGTAAGAGCCAACAGAAATCTGGTGTATTAGCTGCCATAAAACTAGTTTTAAAAATAATTTACATGGCAAATGGTCATTGAAATATGATGTCAAAAGTACAAACTTGTGGTTCAATGAACAAAAAGGTCTGATTGGGGTTGCAATCTAATGCCAAACAAGGAATGGCATGCTTAATCCAGTCCCCAACCTTACCAGTTATACACAAATGCTATGGAAGAGAAGAGGGACAGGAAAGTGAGACAAGGAAAAAAATCACAGGGGAGTGAGTTGGGGGAAAGACAGTAAAAAGATAGGAAGGAAAGAACTGAGACAAGAAAGAGGCTGTCTGATATACAGGAGAGATCATATTTAGAGCTGGCAAAGAGGTGGAACTATTATCTGAGTGTAATCCTTTGCTGTAGGGTTTTCTGACTTTTGTCACCTGAGCAAACTGGTACATACATGCTCTAATGCTGCTAGAATTTCTTTGGACTATTTTCACCATCTTGTCATAATGCCTTACTCTTATTGCCAGAAGGCAATATAAAAACCTGAAACCGGAGTGAAAGATTCAGAGTGCATTTTTTCGAACTGCCATTTTCACCAATTTGATCCCACTGCTTGTCATTTCCTCCTATTTAATTAAGCATGTTAAGTAAGAGATGTAACTAAAAACAATACATGGGTAGGAGAGATTACCTTAAGCAGCTGAAACATCATAATATAAATGGACATTCCTATTTAAACCATTTAGGCCATTGAATCATTGAATCATTCCTGTTTAAACCATTTAGGCCATTGAATCAATAGATCAATTTTATAGGTGTTGATTTAACACATTATCATTGATTCAGTAGGTCTGCTGGGTTGGGGCTACCAATAGAAATTCAGCCCAATGATGTCCGGTTTAGAGTTTTTGTGTAAAGATCTTAGAGATCACAACTCTGTATTTAGAATGAATGGGACTGTAGCCTTGGAATGAGCTCATCAGTCATCATATTTATATTACCTGGATTACTCAAATGGAGATCAAGTATTCAAGCAATGATGACTCTTTTATATACCTTTAAGTAAGTAAAGGTAAAGGTAGTCCCCTGACATTAAGTCCAGTCATGTCTGACTCTGGGGTGTGGTGCTCATCTCCATTTCCAAGCCGAAGAGCCAGCATTGTCCGTAGACACCTCCAAGGTCATGTGGCTGGCATGACTGCATGGAGCGGCGTTACCTTCCCGCCGGAGCGGTACCTATTGATCTACTCACATTTGCATGGGCTGACAGCGGAAGCTCACGCAGCTCCCCGGAATTGAACCTGCGACCTTTCGATCAACAAGCTCAGCAGCTCAGTGCTTTAACCCACTGCGCCACCGGGGGCTCCACCTTTAAGTAAGTAGCACTTTAAAAAAACCCTCAAATAGTATGTAAAATCACATTTAAACTTGACTGTAAAAATTCTTTACTTTTTAAGTCCATAGTTGTCTGATCTTGAATGATATTGCAGCCACAAAAGGAAATGTCCAAAGCAAAAGCAACGGATGAAAATATAAATATGAGTCAGTCTGTTGCATGCTGTGGAAAAAAAATAGTTACCGTACATTTTGACATTACCGTAACATTCTTGTAAAATCCTTCTCAACGGGTATCCCTATTCAACTGTACTTGTCATCTATTACCAAGTTTACTAACTGCTTCTTATTTACTTAGTTACTTACCTCAATAAAATGACAGCACCCAGTTTATAATATAAGCTCAGTAAGAGACAGTGGTATGAATCAACATCCTCAAACTTCCAATCATGTTCACATCCCTCATGTCCCCAGGCCAATCGAGCTCAGTGGGTTAGGAGGTTCACTAAAAACAAACAAAACCCTGGAGTCTCAGATAAATCCTGTTGCTTCTCTGCGCTGTTGCTGTCTATTCACTTGCCCCTTTTTGAATAAATAGGCAAGCTATTAGGATACTGAAATGGAGCAGCAGCAGCAATTTCACATTTTGTCTTCTCTCTTCTCTCCGATACTAGAGAAAAAGTATATGTAAGTAGGCAACAGTAATAGAGAAGAGCAGAAGATACAGATCACTGCAGAGAGGCAGGTCCATGGGGGACATCTTGCTCAGGGGCTTCTCTTAAATTGGCATGGGTACTGAGTGAATTGGGAGGTAGAATAGTAATGTCAGACTAACATGTGAACCCTTCACCCTTGCCAGAGACGCTGTGGCTATCGATTCTTAAAACCATCAGCCAATTGCGTGAATGATGATGTGGGAATGCCTGCAGAACAGATCCAAAGCAAACACAACTGTTTGCATGGCCATCCTATGTTCCCTAAATGCTGGTGGCCTGGGGGCATGGGAAGGCACTCACCATTCCTCTTCCACTTTTGTAGCAGTGGCTGGCAAGTGTGATACGACTGTCACTCGTCCCCTATAGTGACGTTGGTTGGGGTGCCAAAGGATTGCAGCAGGTGGGAGAGTCATAGAGTCATAGAATCATAGAGTTGGAAGAGACCTCATGGGCAATCCAGTCCAACCCCCTGCCAAGAAGCAGGAATATTGCATTCAAAGCACCCTTGACAGATGGCCATCCAGCCTCTGTTTAAAAGTTTCCAAAGAAGGAGCCTCCATCACACTCCGGGGCAGAGAGTTCCACTGCTGAATGGCTCTCACAGTCAGGAAGTTCTTCCTCATGTTCAGATGGAATCTCCTTTCTTGTAGTTTGAAGCCATTGTTCCGCACCCTAGTCTCCAGGGAAGCAGAAAACAAGCTTGCTCCCTCCTCCCTGTGACTTCTTCTCACATATTTATACATGGCTATCATATCTCCTCTCAGCACCGGAATTGTGGCGCAGATGGCTGAGTGTCAGCTGCATTAAGATCACTCTGACCAAAAAGGTCATAAATTCGAAGCTAGCCCGGGTTGGAGTGGGTTTCCAACCAATTGTGTGTAGCCTGCTGTTGACCTTTGCAACTCAAAAGATAGTTGCATCTGTCAAGTAGGAAAATAAGGTACTACCTTAAAGTGTGAGGAGGCTCAATTAACTGATTTATGAGGCCATAAAGAAGACGCCAGCAAAGCATTTCAGTGGGGAAGCATGTGGGGAATGCGGAAGTGCTTCATCAGCGTCACAGATGGACGATGAAAGCGACAGCTCCCCTGGTGGCCAGAAAAAGTTAAATAGCCTCTGCCTATGTCTGTATATGTTTGTATGTCAAAAATTGGCATTGAATGTTTGCCATATATGTGTACACTGTAATCTGCCCTGAGTCCCCTGCAGGGTGAGAAGGAATATAAAAGTTGTAAATAAATAAATAAAAACAAATTCTCTTCTTCAGAGAGGGATCACTTCTTCATTTTTCCTTCTCCAATCATCCTAGCATTCAGCCTGAACTCTCGGCTTTGAGCGATAGGCAGTAGCCATGTTGTGCTCACTGGCCACTGCTACAACAAAAACAGAAGTGGGATGGCGAGTGCCACCCCAAACCTCCAGGCTAACCAAACTCAGGGAATACAGAATGGCCATGTAAACAACTGTGGCCAGTTCTATTTTGGAACTGGCTCAACTGCTTACATGGGCCCAAGTTGAGGTTTGCTTTGGATTCTTGGGGAGAATTTGGAGGAACTCACAATTTTTGCTAACGTGGTTCAAGGCCATGTTACATGGCTTTGGCCCATGTTAACCCAAATCAGCTTTGTGTGTTGTGCAGGTGATTGCTCATCCCCTTCAGGATAACGGGTCAGTGTAAATGTGTCCCTATAATGTCTAGAATATTGTTCTCCCAGGTAAGAAACAAAATGTTTACCATTTTTATTTATATTCATGTCTTTCCCTGTGCCCCAGATGCCTGCAAATGTAGGACTACTGCATTTCAAATAACAGCCAGCCAATGCCATCGAAGTCCAGCTTCCTATCCTGCCATTATGCTAAGAGTTCAAGCTGTTCATCTTTGCACTTACCTGGTTCACATGTCATAATTGTCCGTTGAAGAGACACTCCGGGACCACTTGGACTGTTTGTATAGTGATGAAAAATGTCTTGTATGAATCATCTTTGTACATTGAATGGATAAAGATATGAAGGATGTTCAACTAATGAAAAGCTAAGTTTGAAGTGTAGGTCTCTTTTTATAATTTCTATCATGTATGTCCTTACTTCCTAAACATCAAAAGGCAAGGAAACTAACAAAATGTATAATACATGTTTGTGTGTGTGTGTCAAAGGTCAGTCACAATAGAGATAAAACAAAGAACAAAGAAGTTGTTTGTAACACATCTGGATGCTGAAATGATTGAGACCTGAGGTGATATTTTGTTGCAAGCCAAATTAGTTTGATAGACAAAGTGGACAAATGGATGTTGAAAAGTGAAGTTAAAAATACAAATTTCCATTTCAGTGGGGTTGTTATTATTTCACCACAATGGTATAAGATAGACTTATTTAGCCACTACTTCTGGAGCTCCACAAATACAACTTATAATAATTGCAGTGAAACTATAGTTATGTGTCTGGCAATGTTAATGGAAGCTGGAGAATGAAACCTTCAGACATAAAGAAGAACATAATATCCCATTGAGCAAGATCATCACATGTTGCAAACAGTAGCAGCTCAATATACCAGATGAGGATGTAGCCCTTCAACATGAACACACACTTAGGCCCCATCTACACTGCCCTATAATGCAGACTTTTAAGTCTCACTTCCAAAAAGAAACTGATTCAGATCTTGATTATTGATTATCTCTTGTAATGCCTACAATAGATAACCAAGGTATGGCTTCTCCATGTCTAACCTTCTCTTCTGTTGCTGGGACCTGCTACTGGAGACTCTACATTTTCTGCTGTTCTCTGCAGATTCACTCCACGAGCTATCATTTCCTCAGGCCAGTGAGTGGAGCCATCCACTTGCTCCCTGTCCAGCTCGGGGCTTTGCACCGAGTCTGGCACTGACTCAAAAGCGCTGTTTTCCTCTTCCTCATCATCCTGTGAAGAAAAAACTGTGCTCTCGGAAATTTTTGCACTGTCAACAGAGGAGAACCGGGTATGGCTTGAGAACCGATTGGTACTGTCCTGACCAGAAGTGCTGTAACATGACGTGCTGTAGCAGGACGTGCTATAACAGGAGGTGCTGTAACAGGATGGGCTGTAGCAGGACGTGTCACACATTTCACACTCAGTGTCCCCATTTGGCCTGGGACTCAATTCACTCTCACTTTCAGTTCTGGGCCCTTCCCCATCCAACAATGGTTCACGTAAGTCAGCAAGGTGTTCAACAGAGGTGCTGCGAGGCACTGTTCCACGGACAAAGGTCTCTTCCGCTGTGCTTTCCTGAGGAGGTTCTGCCATGACTGTTTCAGCCTCACTGACCATGTCCTTCTCTGAAACTTCCCTGACTGTCAGTTCTTCATCATTCTCTATCACACTGCCCTGCTCCTCCTCCCCTTCTCCATCATCACTACTCATCTGGGCAGAAGGCAAACTGTGAAGGAGATTGTGTATCCTTATGTAGTGTGTCCGAGGAGTCTCAGGCTCCCCACAGGCAGAGGCTATGACGGTCTCAAGTTCTGACACAGGCAAGGAACACGGTCTGTTCTTCCTTTTAACCATGGTCCGTAACTGGAGCTTGTTCTCCTCATGGCTGTCCTCCTCCATCACCTCCTGCTCCTGCTCCTGCTCCTCCTCCTGGGCTGAAGCCCCTTCATCATCCTGACTCTTCTCTAGATCCTTGACAGTTTGTGTATCTCCACTCACCTCATCAATAGATAGGGCTTCTATGCTGGTAAAGATGTTATCACTGCCTCCCTGAGTAACGGAATTGACTTTATTATTTTCCCTAACTTCAGATTCAGGGGGCATGCATGCCAACAAAGCCAGCTGCTCAGCGAGGTCCACAGCACTGAGGGAAGGCATCATTTCCCCTGGGATGGATTCCAAGGGATCAACCATGTCTGCTGGCATTGCATCCACCTCCCCATTTCCTGCTAGCTCTTCTTTTAGGAAGCTGTTCAGGGTGAGCTCCCCGGCACCAGAGCTATCAAAATTGATGCAGATCACTGGGTATCCATTTAGCTTCTCTGGAGCTGCACTTTCAGAGCTCACTGTGCTGGTGCACGGAGGCTCACCGAGGATTTCCTCTGCTGACATATTCAGGGGGCTTTCCTGGAAATCGGCTGACTCGGGATCGGCAGTAAGGGAGACCTCTTCATCATCTGCTGGAAACAAGGAGAGAAAAAATGGGTGAAAAGGTCCTCATTTTCCTTGGGACCTTCAGTGAGAATCCACTTTAAATCCTATGGCTGCTTCCTGCAGAATTCTGGGCTTTGTAGTGTAGTGAGGTCTAGGATCTCTCAGATCTCTCACTTCTCTTTAAACTACAAACTCCATAATTGTGCAGGAAGGAGCCACAGGATTTAAAATCACAAGATTTAGAGTGGATAGATAGTGTGATGATGTGTAAATAATATGGGATTGTGCTCCCATCAATGCTTACAAAAATGTATGAAAGCTACTCTGATGTTTCTTTCCTTGGCCATGCCTAGAAATATGGACCATCTCAAATGTTTCTATAAGAAAAAAGAGTAGTAAAAACACAACAACACTGCTTTTTTAAAATGGACATTTTTTTTTAGTTCTATTTAAATATGATGGTTTTGGTTTTTCAAATTGCAATTATAAAAGAAAACTGAAATACAAAAACTTGGGGCACACTGAAGCATTTCATGGTTATCTTCTTGTTACCTGTTACAAGTTGCTTATAGCCTGCCCATTTGCATCCCACCCACCCTTCAGGTGTTCAGGTATTAGAATCTTACATCCCAGGGTAGGTGCTAATGGCAAGGCCACATGACACATCTCTTGGCTGTCACTTACCATGGACACTCCTGCCATCACCAGAATCCACCAAGAGCTGAAGTTGGCCATTTTAATCTCATGTATAGTTCCAGCTGGTATGCCTCTTTAGTGCTACCCAAGGGGATTATTGCATGGAGGAGGTGAAAGTTTTTGCCCCAAAACATTCTGGATTGATATCATTATTGCCTTATTACAAATAGCAATTAAATAACAATTTTCCCTGCAGGGACTTTTGAAGTCAAAATTCCCCATGCCCCAACAATCCATTTCCTAATAGGTAACTGTCATAGTTACTTTTTAACAACATAGTTAGGAAAACACAGAAAAGGTAAGGGCCAAAAACAGTAGAGCAGTACTATTTGTGGCTCTGTGGACCACACATAAAGCTCACATGGGCCCATGCCCGTAGCCAGGATTTTTATTCGGGGGGGGGGGGGGGGCTGAGTCTGAGTGAAAGAGGGTCTACCCTAGCAAACCTTTTGTATCGTTACCACAATACCCCCATGCATATGGGATATATTGAGTATGGTGATCAGATCATGATATGAATAAACATAACAGTTTAAATAATGCACCAGTAAGGCCTTCTCGCGGACCACCATGAGAATTTCGGGGGGGGGGGGAACCCCCCAAAGCCCCCCCCCCCCCCGGCTACATGCCTGCATGGGCCACAGACTGTCCAAGTGAGAACTCAGTTTAAGTGACTGAACGTATTTATTTTATTCCTTCATTATTAAAATATTTTAATCCCATGCTATATCCAAAGATCTCAGGGAAGCTTGCAATAAAGCAATTTAAATCAATAAATCATAACTATTTTAAAATATTAAAATTATATTAAATCACTTTTCAATTAAAAACCAAACAATTTTAAACAGGTTAACATAATGTTAAATCGTGCAGCTATAACAAATTTATTTCAAATATTTATTTCAAATATTTGTACCCCGCCCTTCTCTACCCCCGAAGGGGGACTCAGGGCAGCTTTATAAATTGATTTAGTTCTAAGGACTTTAGGAAAAAGCCAAGTTTTGACTTGATTTACTTACTTACTTACTCTATTTATACCCTACCTTTCTCTACCCCGAAAGGGACTCAAGGCGGCTTACATATAGGCAATTATTCAATGCCTTAAAACACATGTGATGCTGAAATGATACCAATATTAGTGCCACCTGAGCCTCTATGGCAGTGGTTCTCAACCTGTGGATCCCCAGATGTTTTGGCCTTCAACTCCCAAAAATCCTAATAGCTGTAAACTGGCTGGTATTTCTGGGAGTTGTAGGTCAAAACACCCGGGGACCCACAGGTTGGGACCACTGCTCTATGGGAAGCTATTCTACAGCTGAAGTGCCTCTACAGATAAGGTCTTCTCTTTCTCAATTCAGAGGAGAGAGAATTAAATCATATTATGTAGAAAGTAGGTTAACTACAGGTTGTTTAAACTAACAAATCAGCTTTCTCTCTTTTTAGTAGATTTTATTATATTAAATTAATGTTTTAACTATTCATAATTATTGATTTTGGATATGTATTTTATTGTTTTTACTTGTAGGCATCAAATATGTGCCAACAGGAAGCCACCCTGAGTACCCCCCAGGGGATTGAGAAGGGTGGGGTATAAATACCTGATATAAATAAATATCAAGCCAAATAGGAAACCACAACCTTCTGAGTTAGTTAACAAAGTACTGTTAATTTATTTTAAAAAGCAAACAATTTCTCCATCCTCATCTTGTAGGCAAAAGGATGAGGTAAGGAAGAGCCCACAGCTCCATTATGGCTCACTCTCCACAATCTAAACTACAGTGCAGCTGAACCATGAGTTTGGCCAGGAGATGCAACCATCTGCCAGGTATTGTTGTCAAGGACTGCAACTGTAAGCAGCCCTAGCCACATACTATGTTAGGAGTGTTAGGAGCTGCAATTAAACAACATCTGCATGATTCCTACATCTGGCTTGGATAACTGTTTGAACCAAAACCAAGTACTTTTGGATACAGAAAATGGGACTGTTGGAGAATACCTGGATGGATTGAAGAAGTTATCTCAAACCGAAATTGCAGCTGGCCACTGACATGGTCTGTTGGCAGCCTACGTCCCAAGGTATAGCTGACAACCCTGTCCCTAGAAAAAATAAGTAGAAAGATTAATATTAATTTGATTTCGTATTCAGCCAATTAATCTGCTACAAATAGACAATATTGATTATTAGGAGTATTCACTGCATTGAGTAGCTGTTGAATATTCAGAGAATATTTTTTTCCCTGAGATTTATTTTCTCTGTAATACCCATTATAGATCACTCGCAACCCTGCTTGCTACCACTGTATGGAGCCCTTTCACAGCGATCCAACATTGCGTTCTACTCTCCTTTACTAATTTTACCAGGCAGGGTGTAGCAACCTGCCTTTCTTGAGTATCATGTTAATATGACCACAAGCTTGTGTCATCAGAGTCTGACACAGAGGCTGAACAGCAGTGGAAAGATGTGTTGCAGCCCTGAAAAGAGCCTCTCAGCTTCCTTATATGTATGTGGAGACAGTGAGATGGTAAACCTCTCTCCACGGAGTTACCTCCTATTTAAATGCAAGCATTGCTATTGTATTACTTTAGTGGTCTATCAAGCATCACATAATTCATCATCTACATGCATCTCCCCTTGCCCCCTGGCGATGTTTTAAATCCCTACTGTCTAAATTGGAGGAGGGAAGAGATGAAGAAGTGTTTAACCTGCATGAGCAGTGGAAGTGTAGAGTAAGAAGGATGGATATTATGTTGCTGCTATGTATTAAAACCATGGAGCTAAGTGTTGTTACAGTAAGTCGTAGCAGGATCAAGTGTGTGTTAAAGAAAAACCTTATGATGTTAATTATTGTGTGCAGCTGGTAATGTAGGTCAGCCAGCATGTTTTAAATCCCTACTGTCTAAATTGGAGGAAGGAAGAGATGAAGAAGTGTTTAACCTGCATGAGCAGTGGAAGTGTAGAGTAAGAAGGATGGATATTATGTTATTGCTTTGTAAAACAACAATCATGAGTCTTCCCATATGCACTGTGTTGTCATAAAGAATCTTATGAAATTGTATGCTTATCGTATCAAATGGTACATGTACAAACTAGATCATATGTACTCAGGCTTGCTCCTATCTAACCTTTTGCTGCAATGTATTAAAACCATGGAGCTAAGTGTTGTTACAGTAAGTCGTAGCAGGATCAAGTGTGTGTTAAAGAAAAACCTTATGATGTTAATTATTGTGTGCAGCTGGTAATGTAGGTCAGCCAGCATGTTTGGGCCACACCCAGTGGGGTATAACTGTATGGATTTTAGAATACAGTTTGGAGAGGTGGAGAAGCAATATACTACTCTGAGGAGGAGAAGCAATATGCTGTAATGCTGCTATGCTCTAACAGTGATGCTCTTTCCTATGGTGGAATAGCTATTTACTCAGGATTTATGTTTTGCCTATGTGTCTTTTGCAAGGGACCAGGGGCGGCTCAACCCATTACACAAAGTAAGCATTCGCAGTATAGTTGATTTTGCCCAGGGGCGCTCTTGAGGCGCTCTTGGGGGAAAATAGACCTTGACATATGCGAATTGTAGTTACTGGGATGTATAGTTCACCTACAATCAAAGAGCATTCTGAACTCCACCAATGATGGAATTGAACCAAATATGGCACACAGAACTCCCACGACGAACAGAAAATATATATCAGTGATTGGATGGGGGGGGGGGGCAAAATACTGTTTGCTTACCATTGAAAATTACCTAGGGCCGCCTCTGCATGGGACTTGGCTAAAATCCGCTACTGCGCAACATGTGTTACATTAAATACAAATGGAGTCAGACAGACAACTAAAAGCAGACTGCCTATCTGGTTAAACAGTAAGAGACACTTCCTAAGAGTAAGCACTGTTTGATAGCAGAACAATTTGCCTTAGATACCTGGATGTTCATTCATCATGAATGCTGTATTTTCATCCAGTATTGCATTCTGCATAAAGCAGTGGTGGGCCAGCTGGCCTCCAAGGTACTTTCCAACTCACTGATTTTATGTTTAATGAAATATTCAACACTATTAAAGAAGTCAATTTCTTTCCAATGTATTCCATTATTGTTAGAACACTGTGTTATTTCATTCACCACTGTCACTCTTTTTTTCCTCATGAGTATGACATTTAAAGAACAGAAAGCTTTGCCACGAAGATTTACCCTATGGCATGTCTCTCCAGCAGCCGTTGCACTGGCATGGAAAGCTTCCCCAAGAAACGCTTAATGATGGGCCGGCTCTTTGCAAATTTGTCCTTCACTTCTATTTCCAGGACATCAGTGGGCAAGGAAACAAAACTGAACAGCTGCAAAAGAAAGAACACACACAAAATAGGGAGTTAGAGCTATGCTCTGTGATGGTTCCATTCCTCCTACACCTGGGTCATTTGCCCAGATACCCTCAAGCAGTTCTTTATCTATATACCACCTATCTCCTGCACCCCCCCCCCCCCCCCGAAGATGGCATCTCCTGCCTATTCCCTATACAAGTGCTAATTAGGCTGATTAGTGTATTTTTCCCCAACATCTGAGAACAATCTCAGAAAGTGTGCAGCTTAATGGGACACCAGCTGCTTTGCATCGAAAAGATCCTAAGTTCAGTTCCTGCTAAATCCAATGTAGCTAGGAAAGCCTCTTTTCTGAAACCTAGAGAGTTACTGTCAGTCAGTGTGATGAACTAGGTGTGCCAATGGTCTAAGCTTGTAGGAGGCAACTTCCTATCATGTGTGACAATTTGTTTTTTCATGAGTTGGGTCAGTATGTAAATCAAGAGGGTCATCATGGTTGCAATTTTTCATAAAAAATGTAAACCGCCTTGGGTCGCCTGTGGGCTGAGAAGGGCGGTATACAAATACAGTAAATAAAAAAATAAAAAATAAAAACAAAATTTCACTTTCAGGTCCTGCATAAATTCTTTCTTCAACTATGGAGCTATTTGAATAATTCCAACCCTTATCACATCCATACCCACTTTTATTTGTTAGCATTTTTCAAAAAAATGTTTGATTCACATCATTTCCCTTGGTTACTTGTTCCATTAAGTCTCTTCCTGGGAGTTGCATATTTGTCCCCTTTGGGTTAAACCTGAATCTCATTCCACTTGCCATCATTAATACTATTCAATTGAGAAATTGCAATATAGGTGCCTTTAAATATAGTTTCTAGTTTTGACCACACAATGTTGCTGCTTCAGCTTTTTCCCTTCAAGAAGGCTTCTTGCAAACCTCTTTGCAAGTGTGATATCTCTACTCTTCACTATTTTACCGAGATTGGTCATTGCTCTCCTTCCAAGAAGTAAACGTCTTCTGATTTCCTGGCTGATTTCCAGTCTGCATCTGCTATAATCTTTTGCACCTAGAAATACAAACTCTGTCACTGCCTCCATGTTTTATTGCTCTATTTGCCAGTTATCAATCAGCCCAGTTGCCAGAATTTTGTTTTTTTATGTTTAACTGCACCTCAGCTTTTGCACTTTCTTCTTTCATCTTGATTAGAAGGTTCCTCAGCTCCTCCTCACTTTGGTCACCAAATGGTATCATCTGCATATCTAAGGTTGTTATCATCTGCATATCTAAGATTGTTAATGTTCTTCCAGCAATTTAACCCCAGCCTTGCATTCGTCAAGCCCCGCACATCGCACTATGTGTTCTGCATACAAGTTGAATAAGTTGGGTGACAGTATGTCTTTCCCAATCTTGAACCAGTCTGTTGTTCCGTGGTCAGTTGTTACTGTTGCTACTTGGTCATTATACAGACTCCTCAGGAGACAGACAAGGTGATTTGGTATCCTCATACCACCAAGAACTTGCCGCAATTTATTATGATCCACACAGTCAACAGCTTTAGAATGATCAATAAAACAGAAATAGATGAAGTATGGACTGGTTGGATCTCCCGGCCTTTTTCCATTATCCAGCAGATATTTACAATTTGGTCTTTTCTAAAACCAGCTTATACATCTGGCAACTCTCTCTTCATGTATTGCTGGAGTCTTCTTTGCAGGATCTTGAGCATTACCTTACTGGCATGTGAAATAAGTGCCACTGTACAAAAGTTTGAGCATTCTTTAGCATTTCCCTTTTTTGGTATGGGGATATAAGTTGAATTTTTTCAGTCTGATGGCCATTCTTGTGTTTTCCATATTTACTAGCATATGGCATGCATCACCTTGACAGCATCATCTTTCAAGATTTTAAACAGTTCAGGTAGGATCCCATCGTCTCCTGCTGTCTTGTTGTTAGCAATGCTTCTTAAGGCCCATTCAACCTCACTCCTCAGGATGTCTGGTTCTAATTCACTCACCACACCGTCAAAACTATTCTCGATATTATTAACCTTCCTATACAGATCTTCTGTATAGTCTCGCCACCTTCTCTTGATCTCTTCAGCTTCTGTTAGGTACTTGCCATCTTTGTTTTTATCATGCCCATTTTTGCCTGAAATTTATCTCCAATGTTTCTAGTTTGTCCTTCCTATTTCTCTTGTCCTTCCTATTCTGTTGACTTCTTCCATGCATTGCTTGTTTAAAAATAGTTCCTTATCTCTTCTGGCTAACCTCTGGAATTGTGCATTTAATTGGGCATATCTCCCCCTATCACTGTTTCCTTTTGCTTTCCTCCTTTCTTGGGCTACTTCCAGTGTCTAAGCAGACAACCATCTTGTCTTCTTGGTTTTCTTTTTCTTTGGGATGTACTTTGTTGCTGCCTCCTGAACAATGTCACGGACTCTGTCCACAGTTCTTCTGGTACTCTACTAAATTCAGTCCCTTATATCTGTTCTTCACTTCCACTGCATATTTGTTAGGAATGTTAGTGAGATCATATTTAACTGGTCTGTGTGGAGATGCTAGTGGGGTACAAATAAAGTTATAATAATAATTTTCCCTGATCTCCTTAGTCTGATTCTAAATTGTGCAATAAGAAGTTCATGATCTGAACTACAGTCAGTCCCAGGTCTTGTTAACACTGACTGGATGAATGTCTGCCACCTTTGGCTGCAAAGGATGTAGTCAATTGGATTTCGGTGTTGACCATTTTTTAGGTTGTTGGAAGAGTTTTTGTTATACACAGTGAGTTTTCCTGACAAAATTCTATCAGCCTGCGTCCCACTTAATTTTGTTGTCCGAGGCCATGCTTGCCTGTGATCCCAGTTGTCATTTGACTACCCACCTTGGCATTCTTTCTCCTATAATGAAGATAACATCTCTTTTTGGTGTATTATCCAGTAGGTGCTGCAGATCCTCAAAGAACTGATCTACTTCTGCTTCTTCAGCAGCTGTGGTTGGGGAGCTGATTATCTCTAAAAAATTTCACTTCAATCTACTGAACTCAAAGTGCATACTAAGTTCTGATTATGTTTCACTTCCTTTCTCATGTTGCTCACTGAAACCTTCAAGTTTCTCTTCTGTAGATAAGTAAATGAATGGAAATGAATCAGATGAATTTAAAAATGGAGGCATTTCAAGAAAAGACTGTGAAGTTGGAACAAAAGAATGAACATCTGACTCCTGACAGTGTCAGACCAAGATTTGGATGTAATGGAAATTACAGACCTCAAGAATGAGAGGAGAAGATTTCACAGTTTACCAGAGAAGCAGAATTAGGACATCTACACTACTACAGTTGGGGGGCGGAGTTACCATGGCCGGTTGAACAGACGTCTTTCCTCCAGCTCTTGTGGAAATATAGCAA